ATAGAAGAGAGACAAATCCTTTAGGTAGTTGTTTGGTGGGGTTCTTTCTTCTAGTTTCGTCTAATTTGGAAGATGGTTGAAGCCCCAGGTTGAACGCTTGATTTTCACTTGCTATCCTCCAACCCGTGTTAGAAATCACACGTTGAAATGTAACACCTCGTTAGTCTTTAGCTCGCACAAGTTTCGAATTCTGAGGGTTGTCGTTCGTAGGGGTGCGATAGCTGATTAACGGAAAAACATATATTTAAATCTTTGTAAAGAGTTCATTTTGAACTTGATTACTTCCTTCATTTCTTCGGAAGTTCACATTTTTTACATAAAGAAGAAGAAGTAGCTTCAGAAAATGATATTCGCAGAAAAATATACGTCTTTCAACTTGAACAAGATCCCTATGTCCACACAAGCACTTTACAGAAACATTAGAACTGCAGTATAATATATATGAAGTAAATTCAAATGACATAATAAATAAACAGTTACCGAACGTCGGCAGTTTCTTTGTATGGCATGGGCAGCGTCGTATAATTTTTTTGTATAATCACTTTTTTCATGTGGGAGGTTTTATGTGGTATTAATTAGTACATTTATCAGACACGGCACATTTTTATTTAACTGATTGAATTGACCTCATACAGATTATACTCTACTCGATGGGCGTTTCACCAATTAAGTTGGCGTTTTTGGAGCTGAAGACGCCAACTTTGTGAGACAATCGCGCGTCGAGTTAAGTATTGAAAATCTGATTTTGGGAATATGATTGTTTTGGATTTATTCTACTCCATAGGTTCCAGTTTCACCACTCATAGATCCTTATAACTGGGATTGAATTGAATCAGCGTCTTTACGCACTGTCATCGTGATATTAGTAGAAGTTACGCGAGAAATGAGGGTTTCGTTTCGTAATGTTTTTCAAAAGTGAAAGGTGTCTCGTACCGAAACTTCGAAGTATACCATTTCGGATGAAAGTTTTCCATGTCAGTGGACTTTATATAGTAACTCTTTCATATATTATGTTGTGTAGCGTTCCTATGAATAATACTAGTATCAATTCCATAACGAATGTTATATTCGGTATAAACTGAATAGAAATAAAAATTGATTCAGATAAAAGAAATTTTGAAAGTACTTTTCTTTAGTGTAATCTAATGTTCAAGTGGAAGTAGTTGTTTCGGCAGTGCTCTTTCTTTTAGTTTGTATCTGAAAGTTATTTCATACAATGTTTCGGATTATTTCCTAACATCCTAGTGCAGTTTCGGAAAACTTTCAGGCCATATATTTTCGAAAGTATGTCCTTCGGATAAAAATTGGAACCTTCTGCAGAGACAAGCTGACGTGATATTATGTCAGAAAAAAATATGAGCATATATGCTATCTGTGACCTAGTATTATTTATATTTCAGTCGAATCTACGATTTTTCAACATCACAAATGATGGAGAAGAGTTATAGCCGTAATGACCTACTAAAATAATACCTTTCGTATCACCCAGTGTTTCTCTTAAAACTCATATATTTATGTACTCATTTCTTGATCAAATAATGCCAGCAGTTTCTGCATTATTCAATATTTATTTTCAGATTGACTGTTTGTTAAATATTTGAGGGAGTGCTGAAATATTGCAAAATGTGTGTGTATTCATGAAATAGAATTGTCAGAAAAGGTCCTATTGCCAATATTTGTAGTAGAGACGAAACTCACATGAACAAAATCATAAATGTTGTATGTCCTTCTCGAAAATATTCATTTCAGTGAAGTTGTGTTTGTACAAGGAGAGCAAAAAACGAATGTTTTCATTCGAAATCCTAGGTCCAGTTTAAAACAGTTTAAAATCCTCCTGAATGCCATTCAGTATCAATTACCTTTCATTTTTCACGTTTTCAACAGTGTTGAATGAATGGTATCTACAGGGTGGACGAATGAAAACCAAACAAAACCGATGTCTCAGACTAGTATTTGATTCAGTATTTTCAACACTATAAATTTCTCTCAATATTCTTTTTGATTCGTTCGATTCTGCCATGTCATTTATGGTGCCAAATTCACTTATCATACTTGCATTATCTCTTGCTGAAATATATTCACCTCAGTTGAATTTTCATGGTATTAATTTATTTACTTAGATTTCATTTTTGATTATTGTTTTTAAGTTTTTTACTATCCATACTTTTCTGATATTTTTTGTTGTTTCTCCAATGTCCACCATTTTTTTCGAGTCGATAAGAGTCTCAGAATATTTTTTGTTCAAAAATAAAATAAAAACATATCAGTTTCTTTTCTTCTGAGTGAGAGTTATACGAGGTGATCATTGTGTGAGATCAAATTCACAGTTTTTCGAGGAAATCGTAGTTTTCTATGATTGTATCATGATATAATCCTTATATGCACTGTCTAATTGATTTTGTCCTTGACTTGTTGTCCTTCATCAGGACTTCACTTGGTTATATAAAATAGCCAGGCGCTCTTTCCCAAAAATTCAGTTCAGTTTCATCAAAAAGTATTTCAATAAGAACTTTTCTCAAACTAATTTATTGTTTTGATTAAAAATTGAGATGACTTGATTATGGTGTATGACAAAAATTTTTGTTAATCTTTGCTATATTACCAAATCATAAAGTTAGATGTTCTCTGGAAAAATTCTGAAAAAATGAAAGGCACAGCTAGATGAATATTTTCCACCCCATAAAAACCTAGTGAAATATAAGATATCATCTGAATATTATTCATTGTTTTTTCAATGATGACCTGAATCTATTAATGATTCGAAAAGAAAAACTTGAATACTTGAATGATTTTGTGAGTATTGAACTGCTGTGTGGAACGAAAAAAAATTTGTGAAAATCCGTCTTTTGGAGACCTACCTGGATTAACAACACTTTATTTCTTTCTACAGAAGGAATTTCACTATTGCAAAAAAGTATATGCTAACTGATTTCTATGCATGTCGAAGACATGCTTTGGCCTCTGAAAGTTTAAGATAAGAGTTTTGGTATAATTTTTTTAGCTCTTCGTTCGAAAGGAAAACCTATCAAACAAGTTACTTATGAGTGGTTCATTTTCATGGTTCAATATATTGAATTAACGCAGTAACTTATTGAACACTTGCACCTTCATAAATATCTCCATTACAATTTTAATTTTTTTTAGATTGTGGACGGTGAAAATTACAAGAAATATCAATAAAAACCCTGATTCCTGCACAAAAATGACTATATAGTATCATTTCTGGAAAAATAACAGCAAACTCTTCTGGGGCACGTTGTCAACACCTAATGAATATGATCATAATTGATAAACACACATTTCACGAATTTGATACTTTAACCCATTATATAAATATACATATTTTTCAATTCATGATATTTATGAGAAATTTGAATGAGTACTCGATCCCAATTTCCTATCTCAAAAAAATATGTAATTTCTGTTTAATTTTGCGTTTGAATTTTTTTATCTCAGAATAAGCTTATTTTGAATATTACTGGACTTTTATCTTTTTCTTCCTCTTGAAGATGGTCACTTGGTGATCGAAACACGTGTCGAGGTGTTGAAATAACGGATAAAACTCCAGTAATATTTATTACTACACCAAAGGTTCCAAACAGTGCATCGCAAGTAAAACCTTCTTTTGAATATTACTGGAATTTTATGTTTTTCTTCCTCTTGAAGATGGTCACTTGGTGATCGAAACACGTGTCGAGGTGTTGAAATAACGGATAAAACTCCAGTAATATTCATTACTACACCAAAGGTTCCAAACAGTGCATCGCAAGTAAAACCTTCTTTGAATCTTTATAATAACATTAGAATATGTCACAAAAGAAAAATAGTGTAACAAGTGTCAATGAAGCTTCTTTAATAATTCTTTCAGACACGAAATAAAGTTTATTAGAATCTCTGTTCTTCTGTCATTAATTTTTCCAATTTGTTCAGAAACCATTGTAAAAAAACTTATACTTTTCTCATGCGAAAAGCTAGACAATGTGATGAATGGAAAATTATGGATATTAATTGACACATAATTCACAACTGGGTTTGGGTGAAAATATTAATTTAATTCATCTTCGCGAGCATTTTGACGTGTTAGGAATCACACGTTAAAGGGTAAAACGTCGTTAATCCTTAGCTCGCACAAGTTTCGACTTCTGAGGGTTGTCGTTCGTAGGGGTGCGACAACTGGTTAACGGAAAAGAAGATTTTAAACAGAAACAGATTTTCTCAAATTTTCACGATGTATTTCACAATACCCTGTAACAATAACAACCATTAAATGTCAGACATTTTGAAATTGATGTCAATCACTCATATCTACTACCCCAAACTGAATATCGCAACTTCAATCTCAAAATTAGAAATTTGATTAATGAAAAAAATATGTCATAGAAGTGTAGTAGTGTTGAGAATTGTGAACTTTCTTCAAAAAAAGAAACATTTTTTTCATAACAAAATAATGAATAATGATGAAAATGTATGTAGGTAGGTACAGATCACTTCAATATTTAGAGAAATGAGAACTTTATAAAAAAAGTAAAAATAATCTATATAAATAAAACAAAAATGTGTGACAAACTCTCCATATTCATTTCTTTTTCACTTACTTTTCATATTATATATTGTGAATGTTTAAACCTCCTAAAATTACTTTGTTGTTGTCCAAAAACTATAACGAAATGACGATCATTTGAAAATGCAAATGAAATACTCAAAAGCTTTCTTTGATAATTTCCCGCAGAAATTTTCTGTTAAAACCACAAAACGCTCTGTCATCAAATCTTTGCTTGCCAGAGATGTTATCGCAACATTAAGTCTAAAATTCATTTTCTTCCTCCTTATACTGCGCCACAATCTGATCAAGCAGGTAGTATAAGGTAAGTGAAAACATTCGCAAATTCGTCTTCGAAACACCTACCGTAAAGTGGCTCCCCCAAGAAAGCGGACGAGATAAGAACTTGCAGCAGCGCTTGCGTGCGCCTCATTCAAAAACGAACTTCAGTCAGTAACTAAATACCAAAGCCAGCGGTGAAGAGAAACCAGTAGTACGTCGGCGGTCGAAGAGTGAAGTCACGCTCTGTTGTCGCTCTGATACTGAGAGTTCGCGAACAAAGATACAGTATTACAAAAATGTTCGAAAAGTTTTTGTCAAATAATTCGCGAATTTTTGAGTGGAACGTGTTATAACTATTCTGAAATGAATTAAGTGTAGTGATTAAAAACTTTACCGCCGCTATGTATCCGCAGCTGTTGAGTGTAGTTTTCCTTGCCTCCACTTTCTCGGCAATGCGTTTCGACGGCCCTGAGCAGTGCTCTTGGCTGCCGGACAACACCGACACCTCCTCGTCAAAGTTGGCTGTTTATTGCAGAATTATAACTTTAGAAGAATCTGCGAATATTTCCTCATTACCAGCGGAAGTGACTTCCAGGTTACGAATCAACTGCAGTGAAGTGACGTTCTTCGAGAGTGTGCTCCCGTCCAAGGCATTACATCGACTGCACGAGCTGGAAGAGTTACAGATAAGTAACTGCAAGCTTCTGTCGATTCCCTCAAATTCCTTCGAGGGCTTGTACAATGTGAAAAAACTCTCAATCAACACATTCAATAATAATTGGAGCGCCACTAAAAGTCTCGACTTGGCGCGGTATAGCTTGCAAGGGCTCAAAGAGTTGCAAATCTTGGACCTTGGCTACAACAACATCAGAAGCATGCCTGATGGAGTTTTCTGCTCCTTGACGAATCTTCAGACGCTGAACTTGACGAGAAATAGGATCAAGAGTACCGAACGAATAGGCATTAATGTCCCGTCTTGTAGTAACAGTGACTTACAGAACTTGGACTTGTCGTACAATACCTTGAAGTCGTTGTCTGAAGAATCGGGGCTGTCGCGGTTCAGGAGGCTGCAAAATATAAACCTGATGTACAACAACATAAGCGATATATCTGGCGAAGCTTTGGCAGGGCTTGATTCTCTTAAAATACTCAACTTGGCGAACAACAGGATCGGTATGTTGCCCCAAGGATTATTTGCTGGCACGCCGGAGCTCAAGGAAATCCACTTACAAAACAACTCTCTGTTTTCTCTGGCCAAGGGATTATTCCACCGACTGGAACAATTGCTAGTTTTGGACTTATCCGGAAATCAGCTTACAAGTAGCCATGTAGACGCGGGTACTTTTGTTGGATTAATTCGCTTGATTGTTCTGAATATATCGCACAATGCTATCACGAGGGTAGATGGTAGAACGTTCAAAGATTTGTTTTTCCTGCAAATCCTCGATTTGAGAAATAATTCTATTGGATTCATCGAAGACAATGCGTTTTTGCCCCTCTACAATTTGCACACCCTCAATTTGGCTGAAAACAGACTAAACACTATTGGATTACAGTTGTTCAATGGACTTTTTGTACTAAGCAAACTTACTCTCAATAACAATCTCATAGTGAGCATAGATTCCGGCGCTTTTCGCAATTGTTCAGCACTGAAAGAACTAGATCTGAGTTCAAATGCTCTTTCAGAAGTGCCAGATGCGATTCAAGAGTTATCGTTCCTGAAAACTCTAGACCTGGGAGAAAATCAAATTTCCGACTTCAAGAATGGCTCATTCAAAAACTTAAATCAACTCACTGGGCTACGACTCATCGATAATAATATCGGAAATATATCACGAGGTATGCTGTGGGACTTGCCGAATCTTCAAGTATTAAACCTGGCAAAAAACAAAATACAAAACATAGAAAGGGGCTCGTTCGAGCGTAACACACAAATTGAGGCGATCCGGCTGGACGAAAATTTTTTAACAGACGTTAACGGAATTTTCGCCACGATAGCCAGTTTGTTGTGGTTGAACTTATCAGAAAATCACCTCGTTTGGTTCGACTATGCTTTTATACCGAGCAATCTGAAGTGGTTGGATATTCATGGAAATTTCATCGAACATCTTGCGAACTACTATAAAATCCAAGACGAAATCAGGGTAAAAACTTTAGATGCCAGCCATAATCGTATCCTGGAAATATCCGCAATGTCCATACCGAATAGCGTCGAACTCGTTTTCATTAACAATAACTTCATAAGATCCGTACAGCCAAATACGTTTCTCGACAAAACTAACCTAGTTCGAGTTGATATGTACGCTAATGATTTGAACAATCTGGATTTGAACTCGCTGCGAGTTTTTCCTGTGCCTATGAACCGATCTTTGCCTGAAGTCTACTTGGGTGGCAACCCCTTTCACTGTGATTGCACCATGGAATGGCTCCAAGTCGTCAACAACATGTCAGCCTCTCGCCAGTACCCTAGAGTGATGGATCTAGAAAATATCGTTTGTAAAATGACTCACTCCAGAGGAATGACATACATGCCTCTTAATCAAGCCAAGCCCAGCGACTTCCTTTGCCCTTACGAAACGCACTGTTTTGCACTGTGTCATTGCTGCGACTTCGATGCGTGCGATTGTGAGATGACCTGTCCTAATAATTGCTCATGTTATCACGATCAAACCTGGAATACCAATGTTGTCGATTGTTCCAATCAAAATGCAGACGAAATTCCACAAAAAGTGCCAATGGATGCAACAGAGGTCTACTTGGACGGTAACGACATCACCGAGCTACAAAACCACGTCTTCATCGGCCGGAAAAACATGAGGGTATTGTACGTCAACAACAGTGGGGTGGAAACCATTCAAAACAGCACTTTCAACGGTTTGAACGCGTTGAAATCCCTGCACCTAGAGGACAACAAAATAAGAGAACTGAAAGGCTACGAGTTTGAGAATCTTTTCAACCTCAAAGAGCTCTTTTTGCATAATAATCTCATTTCGAGTATTGGTAACAATACTCTGACAGCTCTCACTTCGCTCGAGATACTCCGGTTGGATGGCAATAAATTAGTTTCATTTCCAGTGTGGCAGCTTTCCGCAAACACCCGGTTATCGCTGATCAAACTGGGCAACAACAAGTGGTCTTGTCGCTGCAAATTTCTGCAAGGCCTCACATCGTGGGTAGCTGAAAACGCTGTGAAAGTAGTGGACACCGACGACATGATGTGTTACAACCCGGAAACCGATCCTCCTCAGCGTCGCAAACTCGATTTGAACACTACGATATGCAGTGACTTCTCGGCCGGCAGTTCGGTGCTAGACAGTATGCTCGTGTCGGATTATTGGCCCATGGTTGTTGTGACGTTATGCATCGTTATACTTATCCTGCTCGTCATAGTGCTCTGGTTCGTTTTCAGAGACCCCGTGAAAGTGTGGCTGTACTCGCAGTACGGAGTGAGACTGTGCAGTTTCCGTGCAACCGCCGCGAAACAGTTCGAAGACAAAGACAAACTCTACGACGGTTTCGTGTGCTACAGCCCCAAAGACGAAGAGTGGGTGGTGCAAGCCCTTGCCGTCGAACTTGAACCGAAGTTTCAGCTGTGTTTGCACTACAGGGACTTACCACATACCGCCTACATCCAACATGCTGCTCCGGCAGTTCTAGAAGCTGCTGAAGCCAGCAGACGAGTGATACTAGTCTTAACAAGAAATTTCCTACAGACCGAGTGGTCCAGGTTCGAACTCCGACAAGCCCTGCACGAAGCCCTCAAAGGTCGGGTGTTCAAACTGGTGATACTGGAAGAAGGGCCGCTCCCTGAGGCTGAGCTCGATCCAGAGCTCAGGTTGTACCTCAAAACTGCAGAGAGGGTGCGATGGGGCGAGAGGCGATTCTGGGAGAAGCTGAAGTACGCCATGCCTTCAGTGGAACCCAGAGGAAAAATCAACGCCAATTACCGGAGGAACATCAACAATTACACCATCGAATCCAGGGTGGTGGTGAATAACACGCACCACACCCATCATCCGTACCAGGATAAAAGTCATCCCCAAGGGTCTCCAAATCCAGGTATGCAAATGTTGCCCCCAGCATACTCTTCCGGAGTCCCCCAAGAGGCCGACGATGCAAATTACTCGTCGGCGACGACAGCCACGCCTTCTCCTAGGCCCTCGAGAAGGGCCCAAGAGCCAAGGCCGATTTCAGACCATATTTATTCTAGTATTGATTCTGACTACAGCACCCTCGAAAGGGGTGGTTCAGGGAGAAGAGGTCCCCCATGGCGGCACCAACACGTCATGATGCAGGGGATAAATAATGGAGGGCAAGCGTATCTTGTGTGATATTTCAATACGACTGACTAGGTATATTATTGAAAGAAGACTTAATATTGATGTTTCAGAATCGATGTGTACTTGTATTAATAATTGATTTGTATAATTTTTGTACATTACTGTATATAGATATATTTATTTTGTTTTCAATTTTTTGTATAATTATGTGCATATTTTTTACAAACTGCAAGAAACGAATTATTATATGTAATAAATATGTGAAATTCTACTAGACAACTTTTTTTATATTCTCAATCGAAAGTTACAATACTATTGCACTAAGAATCCACTTTCACTCACAAAATTCATGTTTATTCAATTGCACTCAATTATTTTCTCAAACACTAACCAATTTTGAAACAATTGGATAAGTTATTTTCATTAACTGAAGTATAGTTGAAATACATGAGAAGAATGTCCAATAATAGAAACCAGAGTTCAAAATTACATACTATAAAAGTTGGTATGAAAAAGTATTTGAAATATACTGTGATTGTGCTTCATTTCAAGGAAAATATTCGAGTAATATCGTGGATTTATATCACCTCCGAGAACACCACTATAAGATGACTAAGGTAAGAAAATTTTAATTATAAATATTGTGCTGAATATGTCATTAGTTTTCATATATAATTTTTCACATGAACTAGTTCATTTTTCAAANATTCATTTTGAATTTTTACAAGATACTGAATGACGGCTTATAATTAAAACAAGTGGTTGTTGATTCATGGATATAACTATTGAACAATAAATTTACTGAATTTATTGATTTCATCAATAGGGCAACAATTTTCCATGTTGAAATTTAACACTGAAGGTTGATAGATTAAATACATATACTTAGAAAGTTCTATGTGAAAAACTTAATGAGTCTTCGGAGAATATTTATGTAGTTTTTGTGCTGAAAAGAGTAAGAAACTGAAAGGAAAATTCAAATTGATGGTAGTTCAAAACCTGGATATCCCCCGATGTATTTGAACGGAAAAGTTTTCCTGAAAGATTTGAAAAGAACGGCTATAGAATAATGACATTTTCAGAATTGATAATATTGCCATATCGTTTGATTAACTCGAGCTGTAAGATCACTGTACGATCACTGATTTGTTGAGAACACTGATAGAGGTCAAAAATGTAATTTGAGAGAAAGTACTAAAACTTATAAATAATTGGTAGACTGATTGAGTTGTGCCTTGTTTTTTCTAACAGAGTTTGTTCCCGAAATGAGATAAATATAATCTTTCAAGATGTGAAATTTTACAACACGAACTAATTTATCAATACGTTTATCTCGATTTTTTTTGTTAAACTTATAGCTCAATTCATTATTCCAATAATAATTCCAATAAATAATAAATGATAATTTGAATACATTTCGAAATGTGAGTTACAATAGTTGGTCACTTCGGAGAACAGTAAGTTTTTTTTGGAAATGTGTCAAACAAAAGTATTGATTTCATTATCATAATCATTATTTGTTCTCTTTGTATTTTTTCAATAATTTCACCATATAGAATATTTCATTGTCATTAAAAATTGTACTGTATAATAATCATAATGAAAAGCAATTAAGGTGTGCAACTGATGAGAGGAATTATACATCTGATTTACACTTGCACTATGGAAAAAATCTTCGAAAGCCTGTAGATGCATTAAGTTATTGTTGTTTATATCTTTCAAAATTTATACAGTGTGACTGGTTATGCCTGCTTCATTGAAAATATCACTTTAGCATCAATTTTTGTTTCGACCGAGAAAAAAATTATCGAAAATGTTGTAGATAAATTGAAGATGTCGTTGTTTATATATTCCAAAATTCAAACAGTGTGACTAGTAATGTCCGCTTTTTCGAAATTTGACTTCAAGCATCAATTCCTGGTTCTTGATGATAGGTATCTGACAGATTGTCCCATGTTTCCGGATTTATTAGCTGTGGTCTACAGGTGTTTTACCTGCAGGTAGTAAAAATCGGAATTGGTTACCATAAGCTTTTAGACAAATTATAGTGAATTTTCAATATCAATTGACTAAAGTTGAAGAATAGTTTATTCCACGATGTTATCAGTAATAATGTTGAAAATGCCGTTCTTCAACTTCATAAAAATTCTTTTTTCAAAAATTCTCCATAAAGTCAACACCATGTGAAGGAGAACCATGATTCTATAACTTGATTTGCAAGAGCAGAGAATAGTAAGTTGCCTAAATTTTCGGTTTCAAAACTTTGTCAGGTTGGCTTCAAATTTATCCTTCAAATTTGCAAATGGAATAATAAAGAGTTAAAATTCATAGATTTCTCTCTAAGAATAAGGATTACGCAAGAAATCAGAGTTGTGATTCCCAAACGTGAAATTTTTGGTAAATTTAAATACCTTAACTTCTTTGTACTTTTGTTTTGAGGGATCCAAGGTTCTTAAAATTTTTTGTAACTTCATGTAATATAGTGATAATTATTTTTGCGAATATCGAATTTAAAATGTGTCATATATTCGTGATATAAAACAACAATAAATAAGGTTGCACATTTATTTGTATATTTGTATGGATGAGTGAAGATAGATATAGAGTATGGATTTCACTATGCAATAAAACAAAATGTCAGAATCATCAAAGTGACTGCCCTCTATGATTTTTTTCAAAAAGTTTCGGTCATTTCAAAGTAAAATTGAAAAAACTCCTTATTTCAAACACATACGGGTATTTTTCAAATAATTCTATTTTCTCAGCTGGTCAACCACTTAGTATTTGAAAGAAACTACCACCTAAATGTTCAGTTACATATATTTCATATTACTTGTGGTTATACTAAATAGCCAACCAATCAGACACTACACTACACAATCGATTTAAACCAGGTAATTTATTGCATTTTATACTACACTACATTACACAATGGGATTAAACCAGGTAGTTTATCGCAGTTGATAAGCTAGTACCATTTAGAGTGAAACATACTATACCTTTTATTTTTATTAGAAAATATGTAAAATGAACAAGACGAAGGAAAAAAACAGGAATTTGAATATTTTTCATTGGATTTCAGATCTTATTTGTATCATACTCACAATAAATGTCACATTTGCTTGTCGATATGAATGAATCCTAAAAAAAGAAAAAAAAGTTTGTGTCTGTTTACCTACTGCTGATCCGAATACTTACTTGATGCATTTTCGAAAAATATTTCGAAAAAGTCACCTGCTCTTCTGATATTAATAAATTGTTTTCAAATTGTAATCATGAGTAATCATGACTTTAAGATCAATACTTGAAATATTCAACATAGTTTTTATATAGTTGAATTATTATGGAAATTGGTGATTAATTTATTACATGCCGTTTTTATGAATGTGTAAGAATTTTTTTAAAGATGTTTAAACAAATTTTCAATTACTTGGTTTTTACCTGAATTCATGTGAAATTTTTCTTTCAGTTTGTGTCTGAAAGTTACTTCTTCTACACATATCTTTTTATAGAGTTACTTTTTTGAAATTAATAGCTTCTTTTCCTTCTTTGGAAGATTCCCAATTTTTTTTTGTATCAAGATGGAGATGTGGAAAGCCAAAACCGTTCTTTGCCAAAAACAAATAGTTTGATATATTACATTAAGCACTAATTAGGTAAATTTCATTCAGTATGAATAAGCTATTATAGAGCGAAACACGTGTTGCGGTTTGATAAACTGTCAAGTGAAAATTCCACAATAAAGTGTTACTTAAGTACTAAATATGAATCATACCTATAACACCCTAAAAATTATCTCTGGAACTATCTGAGCTGGCAATTCCCAACCCCAGAGATACAATTCATTTCACAACAATACTCTCCGCGTGCATTGAGTGTGTTATCATAGTACAAATGCAATGGAGGAAATTTTCACTTGACTTGAGTGAATCATCGCATTCATTCAAGATGTTTGCTTTCATGCTGGAATTCTGAATAGGTTCACTTGATTCGAAATGTTGGAGGATTGAGAGTACAAAACAACAGACGAATTTCCGTACCGAGAGCCCTATTGTCCTACGGGTGAGATGAAAGTGGGTCAGTTTTGAGCATTCTCGCTTGTCATGATAACTAATGACCAGAAGTCGGAGGCAGCACGCAGTGGCGTTGCCGTAAACAGTTTATGACTTTCATTTTTTATATGTTTCTCCAGATCATATCAACTGAAAAATAATCACCATACACTCTTCACAGAAGATTTTCATCATTATTCATGTGTGTTAGATACTACTCCCGTCTTATTCCATTTATTGATCTACAGAAAATCTTTGACACTGTAGATCGAGGTCAGTTTTCGGAAGTTTCGAAGAGCAATGGCTTTATACAGAATGTAAAAACCAAATGGAATAAATTCATTATTTCGGTTACGGTTTATATTTTAACAACATCACGAAATACGACAAATTTAAAATATAATTTGACATAAGTCAATGGAAAAATGCTACCCCTACCTTCAGCCCCCGTCGAATGACAAGTAGGGGAGACGGGCAAGATGAGATAGCTAAGACAAAACTCGTTATACAAGGAAAATTAAACTCTTTAATAACATTCTTTAACAAAAGAGGTAACCATTATACATTTCTCTCTTATAATTGAACGTTTCAGCATGCAAAATCACAGAAGTTTTTTTGGCAAATAATGAAAAAATAAACTCGGCAAATTTCCCGTTTTGTCCCATAACTGGGGTAAGATGGGAAACGCTGTGGGGCAAAACGAGTACGCTTTTTAATCGGGTAGACAGCGATCACAAATGTGTGCCTCTTCATCTGCCGCAGATGACTCAAACTTCGGTTGAATCTGAGTATAAGTACTCACAATAGATGCAAGCACAGTCATCATCCTCTTCTTGGGATGAACTATCTTCCGATTCAGTTTCTTTTTTGCACCTTTTGGTTTGACGCTTTTTCTGCAGGTTTTCCTTGTCAGTTGTCTTTTTAATCTTCTTTGCAGTCTTTTTTCCAGGTTTCTTTATTTGTTTTTTACCTTTTTCAGTCACTTGATTATCAGTCTTTTTCTTATTTTTACCTTCTTCAATACTTATATCTTTCATGAGTTCGTTTTTGTAAGGTGATTCAATTAGTATTGCAGTCTTCCCTCGTTTCCTAGTCTTTCTCTCCTGAGTCCTAACTTCTTTAGGTATAGCCATAATATTTTCAGGACTTATCAGAAAAAAAGAAGTTACTCTTTTTATTTGCCTTTCGGGAGTTTTGTCTTTAGCTCGAAATGTTGACG